TAACCACAGCAGCGGACACAGGCGCGGCGGCGGGGGAGGGCGCCCCACGAGCTACACCTCGAGCCCCCAAGGACGACCGCGCAGACCCTCGACAACGACTCCCGCGGGAGGGGGTGGAGGGGGAGGGGGTGGGGGTGGAAGTCCCTCGTACAGGCGCTCCTTCCACCACAGGGCTCTCGAGATAGCCGGCCCCGAGAGTCCTAAGGAATCGGTGTGTCCTCTGGGCCCCCCCTCTTCTTCGTCATCCTCTTCCGCTTCCTCCGCCTTCGAACACGAGAGAGTAGGTGCCGGTACTGGCGTCGGGGCCAAGGGCGAGCGTGCTTCCGTGGCGGGCCGACCCTCGAACCTCCTGCGCTACAAGACGGAGCTATGCAGGACCTTCGAGGAGAACGGGCTGTGCAGGTCGGTGTTCCTGTCGTGGTGGTAGTAGACTTTGCTTTTCCTGTCTACCTTCCTCCCCATCGGCCGTGTTTTTTCTACCCGCCCCCCATCCTTTCATCCCTTTCCTCATTGCACTAAAGGTTCTTCAGAGTGAGAGGCGTGTTAAAATGGGCTCGTATATATGGCTTGAATGTCGAAAATAGTGCGTAGCTTCAGAAGAACCAGTTAAAGTGGAGATGGAAGTTCACCATTCCTTCTCCTTCTGTCTGCTTGCTCCACCTCCCTTGAAGCGAGATCCCCGAGAGGAAAAACAGCGTGACATAAGGATCAGGTTACACACGCGCACTTTCACGCGAGCCAGGAGGGGGACAGGGGAGAGAGGGAGGGGGTTGAGAAGGGGGAGTCAATGCATGCTCCTGCCGGCTTTATCAGGTCTTTTGTTTGGTGCTGTCAAGTGTTCGCCCCCTTCTGCTTTGCTTCTCTCCACGCCAGTCCCGCCCTGTGTCTTTTCCCATGTTGAACGGGTGGAAGTAGGGACGTAGATGGCATATATAGGAGGGTAAGTATCCTTTTTGTTGTAGGCGGTGGTGGTGGGGGGTTGGGGTGGGTGTGGGAGGTGGGTTTTGGATTGATTTTTTTTCCATGTAGGTGATTTGTAAGTAGTGAAGGCTTTGAGGTGGTCATGATTTTGATGGTAGTTCCAGAAAGGGCTAGGGAGGGCTATTGAATGTGTGCTTGAATGTTAGTCGGTTTGTTTACATAGGCCTGAACAGTTTTCTTTCCACTGAAAGATCTTCGTTGGTGTTAAATGAGCTTGGTCTATAGCTAATTTTCCCTTTTCCATCGTCTGTAATGGGACACATTAGTTACAGTATTTCTCAATACGTGTTGTATAATTTTTTGAAAGACTGATAGGTTCTAGACGTTATCATGAGTCTTAGTGCTTGTATCAAATTAATGTTTTGACAAGGCCTTATCCTTCCTATGCCGAGACTATGTAATATACATGGATTTCATCTATGCAGTGTCTACTCAACTTTCATATTCTGAAATAGCTGTTCATTACCCTCCTCTCCCTCCCTTCCCCCTGGCTCTGTCCCTCTGGTCTCCCTCCCCTCCCCTTCCCCCTGGCTCTGTCCCTCTGGTCTCCCTCCCCCTCCCCTTCCCCCTGGCTCTGTCCCCTGGTCCTCCTCCCTCCCCTTCCCCCTGGCTCTGTCCTCTGGTTCCCTCCCTCCCCTTCCCCCTGGCTCTGTCCTCTGGTCTCCCTCCCCTCCCTTCCCCCTGCTCTGTCCTCTGGTCCCCTTCCCTGGCTCTGTCCCTCTGGTCTCCTCCCCTCCCCTTCCCCCTGGCTCTGTCCCTGGCCTGGCTCCCTCTGGCTCCCTCCTTCCCTCTGGCTCCCCTGGTCCCTCTGGTCTCCCTCCCTCCCTTCCCCCTGGCTCTATCCCTCTGGTCTCCCTCCCTCCCCCTCCCCTCCCCTGGCTCTATCCTCTGGTCTCCTCTCCCCTCCCCTCCCCTCCCCTGGCTCTATCCCTCTGGTCTCCCTCCCCTCCCTGGCTCTATTCCTCTGGTCTCCCTCCCTCCCCTCCCCTCCCCCTGGCTCTATCCCTCTGGTCCTCCCCTCCCCTCCCCTCCCCCTGGCTCTATTCTCTGGTCTCCCTCTGGTCTCCCCCCCTCCCCTCCCCCTGGCTCTATTCCTCTGGTCTCCCTCTGGTCTCCCTCCCCTCCCCCCCTGGCTCTATTCCTCTGGTCCCTCTGGTCTCCTCCCCTCCCCTCCCCTGGCTCTATTCCTCTGGTCCCTCTGGTCTCCCTCCCTCCCCCCCTGGCTCTATTCCTCTGGTCTCCCTCTGGTCCTCCTCCCCTCCCTCCCCTGGCTCTATTCCTCTGGTCTCCTCTGGTCCCCTCCCCTCCCCCTGGCTCTATTCCTCTGGTCTCGCCTCTGGTCTCCCTCCCTCTCCCCCCCTGGCTCTATTCCTCTGGTCTTCCTCTGGTCTCCCTCCCTCCCCTCCCCCTGGCTCTATTCCTCTGTCCTCTATGGCTCCCTCTGGTCTCCTCTGGTCCCCTCCCTCCCCCTGGTCTCCCTTGGTCTCTCCTCCCTCCCCCTGGCTCTATTCCTCTGTCTCCCTCTGGTCTCCCTCCCTCCCTCCCCCTGGCTCTATTCCTCTGGTCTCCTCTGGTCTCCCTCCCCTCCTCCCTCCCCTGGCTCTATTCCTCTGGTCTCCCTCTGGTCTCCCTCCCCTCCCCTCCCCTGGCTCTATTCCTCTGGTCTCCCTCTGGTCTCTCCCTCCCCTCCCCCTGGCTCTATTCCCTCTGGTCTCCCTCTGGGCTCTATCCTCTGGTCTCCCTCTGGTCTCCCTCCCCTCCCCTCCCCCTGGCTCTATTCCTCTGGTCTCCCTCTGGTCTCCCCCTCCCCTCCCTGGCTCTATTATTCCTCTGGTCTCCCTCTGGTCTCCCTCCCCGCCCTCCCCTGGCTCTATTCCTCTGGTCTCCCTCTGGTCCCTCCCCGCCCTCCCCTGGCTCTATTCCTCTGGTCTCCCTGGTCTCCCTCCCGCCCCTCCCCTGGCTCTATTCCTCTGGTCTCCCTCTGGTCTCCCTCCCCGCCCCTCCCCCTGGCTCTATTCCCTCTGGTCTCCTCTGGTCTCCCTCCCCGCCCCTCCCCCTGGCTCTATTCCTCTGGTCTCCCTCTGGTCTCCTCCCCGCCCCTCCCCCTGGCTCTATTCCTCTGGTCTCCCTTCTGGTCTCCCCCCCCCTCCCCCTGGCTCTATTCCTCTGGTCTCCTCTGGTCTCCCTCCCCGCCCTCCCCCTGGCTCTATTCCTCTGGTCTCCCCTCTGGTCTCCCCTCCCCGCCCCTCCCCGGCTCTATCCTCTGGTCTCCCTCTGGTCTTCCCTCCCCGCCCCTCCCCCTGGCTCTATTCCTCTGGTCCCCTCTGGTCTCCCTCCCCGCCCCTCCCCCTGGCTCTATCTCCTCTGGTCTCCTTCCCCCTCTCTATCCTCTGGTCTCCCTCCCCCCTCCCCCTGGCTCTATCCCTCTGGTCTCCCCTGGTCTCCTTCCCCCCTCCCCCTGGCTCTATTCCTCTGGTCTCCTCCCCTCCCCTCCCCCCCCTCCCCCTGGCTCTATTCCTCTGGCCCTCCCCCCTGGCTCTATCCTCTGGTCTCCCCTCCCCTCCCTCCCCTGGCTCTATCCCTCTGGTCTCTTCCCCTCCCCTCCCCCCTCCTCCCCCTGGCTCTATCCCTCTGGTCTCCTTCCCCTCCCCCCCCCCCCCTGGCTCTATCCCTCTGGTCTCCTTCCCCTCCCCTCCCCTCCCCTCCCCCTGGCTTATCCCTCTGGTCTCCTTCCCCTCCCTCCCCTCCCCTCCCCCTGGCTCTATCCCTCTGGTCTCCTTCCCTCCCCTCCCTCCCCTCCCCCCTGGCTCTATCCCTCTGGTCTCCTTCCCTCCCCTCCCCCTGGCTCTATCCTCTGGTCTCCTTCCCCTCCCCCCCCCTGGCTCTATCCTCTGGTCTCCTTCCCCTCCCTCCCCCTGGCTCTATCCCTCTGGTCTCCTCCCTCCCCTCCCCCCTGGCTCTATCCTCTGGTCTCTTCCTCCTTCCCCTCCCCCTGGCTCTATCCCTCTGGTCTCCTTCCCCTCTCCCTCCCCCTGGCTCTATCCCTCTGGTCTCCTTCCCCTCTCCCTCCCCCCCTGGCTCTATCCCTCTGGTCTCCTTCCCCTCTCCTCCCCCCCCTGGCTCTATCCCTCTGGTCTCCTCTCCTCCCCTCCCCCTGGCTCTATCCCTCTGGTCTCCTGGCTTCCCTCTCCCTCCCCCTGGCTCTATACCTCTGGTCTCTCTGTCTCTCCTTCCCTCCCCTTCCCCCCTGGCTCTATCTCCTCTGGTCTCCTCCCTCTGGTCTCCTTCCCTCCCCTCCTCTGGTCTCCTTCCCCTCTGGTTCCTCCCTCTGGTCTCCTTCCCCCTCCCCCCTCCACTCTGGTCTCCTTCCTCTGGTCTCCCTCTCCCCTCTCTGGTCTCCCTCTGGTCTCCTTCCCTCTTCCCTCTGGTCTCCTCCCTCTGGTCTCCCTCTGGCTCTGGTCTCCCTCTGGTCTCCTTCCCCTCTGGTCTCCCTCTGGTCTCCTTCCCTCCTTCTCCCCTCTGTCTCCTTCCCCTCTGGTCTCCCTCTGGTTTCTCCTCCTCTCTGGTCTCCTCCCTTCGGTCTCTCTGGACTTCCCCTCTGTCTCCCTCCTGGTCTCTTCCCACTCTTGGTCTCCCCGGTCTCCTTCCCTCTGGTCTCCTCTCTGGTCTCCTTCCCCTCTGGTCTCCCTCTGGCTCTCCTTTCCCCTCTGGTCTCTCCCTCTGGTTCTCCTCTGGTCTCCTCTGGTCCTCCCTCTGGTCTCCCTGCGGTCTCCTTCCCCTCTTGGTCTCTCCTCTGGTCTCCTCTCTGGGTTCTCACTCTGGGTCTCCTTCCCACTCGTGGTACTCCTTCCCCTCTGGTCTCCTTCCCCTCTGGTCTCCCTCGGCACATCTCTCCTCTCGCCCCTCTGGTCTCCCCTACTGGTTCTCCAACTTCCCCTCTTTGGTCTTGTCATCCCTCTGGTCCTCCTTCCTTCGTCTCTTTTCCCCACCATTGGTTTCCGCCCTTCCGGTTCTCCCTC